TGTGTGTGTGTGTGTGTGTGTGTGTGTGTGTGTGTGTGTGTGTGTGTGTGTGTGTGTGTGTGTGTGTGTGTGTAAACAAAAGTTAAAGACATGTTTCTCAAATTACCTTTTGGGAATCAAAGCACCAACATGTCAGTCAGCCATGTCTAATTTAAAATATTTCAGGTGCACTCAAAGGTCAACCTAGCATCAGAAGTTATTTGCTCAGCTGGACTTCATTATTATAATCAACCAATCAAATAAAAGGACACTCAGGTGACTCTCAAAGGGCTCTTTTATCCTCTTTCAGGTTGAGTCACATCAGTAACTGGACCCACGTTTCAGAAAAACTAAAAGAAACTAGGAACACCAACTTGAATCCATCTTCTCTGACTGTGTTCAGCTCACCTCTGAGTAAAGTCTAATAACTGTCAGCTTATTTTGTTCCTAGAAAGTAGAAATATTTTGTACATTGTATTAGTACAAATAAGGACTAAAGAGAAACACTTCATTTAAAATATATATTGATATCATTAAGAGTTTGACACTATAATATACACAGAAAAACAGGCAATATTTTACAAGAAGTTTAATTTTAATATAGAGGTGATGGGTTTCCTGCCGGGTGAATCACTGCTAAAGTTTCCTCAAATGTTGCGACAGCAGTCCAGGAAGCTTCCACAGAGCAGCTCAGAGGGTTCAGATTGTTGGGTGAACATGTGACCGTGTTGAGAATAGCTGCCTGTGGGACACAGTGGGCACATTGTGTTGATAAAAGAATTCCCTAATGAAAACGTGGGACAGCGGGCTGACCGGGTAAACGAACATTTACTGAAGCATTCCCAGCATGTCGTGAGGCTGTCAGCATGAGGTCGCACAACATGTGAGTGGCTCTGTAACATACTGGGATGGGGGGCACTGGAGGAATCATTCAGTAAAATCTGTTTTATTATTTTGTTGATTTATAGAAGAGAGTCATGGAAAATTGATGCTTATAACAATCAGTGGTATTCAAACACTGTACTGAAGTACAGAAAAACAGACAAAAACATACTCTAAAGGTAAAAGTAACCATATTAAAGTACCATATTAACGTTTTATTTGAGTAAAAGTAAGAACTTGCTTTTAAAACTGTTTAAAGTATTAAAAGTACTTGCATTCCCTAAAGATCTATAACAAAGGTTTTCAAACTTTTAAGCTTCAGGCCCACAAAATTACAGTTGTAGAAACTTGTGACCCCAGATATTACTGGTTTACTTAAGCAAACTTTGCTAATATGGGCATAATAACAACATAAACAACCCTAGTAACTACAATAATACTTTTATTCAAATATGATTATTGTATGTTAAATAATTTTCAATAATCAGGGTGAAAATACAGTATATTCCATTAGAAATTTATTTGCATTTAAATTGAAGTATGGAAATCATCTGCGGACACTTCCTTGATATTTTGTGACCCACATAGGGGTCCCGACCCCAGCTTTGGGAATCACTGATCTACAATACCATGAAATTTGCCTACTGTATTTCTTAATATATAAATGGTGCCGTTTTAGTGAACAATGCTGCAGATAATGCACGTTTTTGTGTTTACCCTGTGTGACACTGTTCACACTTGTGATTCTGTGCATCATCAGAGATTGTGACAACAGCTAGAAGCTGTGAATTCTCCACCAACCTCCTCTATCAACTCTCAACAAGTTATTTTTTTTAACTTTCCATTTTGATAAATCCTGAGTTACTCCTTAGTTCTGCTGCTATAGGTTCAGACTACTGGAGGATAAAATGAGCACATGTCCTCACTCTGCTGCTGTCTTTAGTCTCTCTCCTTTACATGTTTGTTTTAATTATTTCTACCAATGACGTGTTTTTTTGTCTCTCTTTCAGAGGAATATACACCTGGACCAGTTCTTCTGTGTTTGTCTGTCTCTCTTTCCTGTCCCCTCAAACCCAGGTCGAGGCAGATGGCTGCCTGTCCTGAGCCTGGTTCTACTGGAGGTTTCTTCCTGTTAAAGGGAGTTTTTCCTCTCCACTGTCACCAGTGGCTCAGGATGGGAAACTGTGATGAAGTGATTCAACACAATCTGTTGGCTTCTTTAGATAAATTCTTGTACAGTGCTCTGAGACGACATACAGCGGGTAAAATAAGTATTGAACACGTCACCATTTTACTCAGTGAAAATATTACTAGAGGTGCTAATGACATGAAATTTTCACCAGATGTCGCTAACAACCCAAGTGATCCATACATACAAAGAAATCAAACCATACGGCGTATTTTACAGTGTTCTGGTATATTAAACAGCATTTTAAACACCGCTTTTTTAAGTTTAACGTGTTGTAAAGTGG